GTTCCCTTGGCTTTCTTAAGAAAGGCTCATCCTTGTATCTATTCATTTTGCTTAAAGAAGGAAAAAGAGAGAATGCTAACCATAATTATCATTCCTTGTTTTTCCTTGTTTTTGGAAGCTAGTCAATTATGAAATTTAAGTGATTGCGGAGCTCTTAAATATAAACAGAAGGGGTTTCGGCATACATGCCAACTCATGCGTAGCAACCCCCATGCATGACTACTAACTAGAAAAAGATTTATTTTAATTGCTATAATTTCCATCCAAATGTGTCTTGTATTAAAAATAGAAAGGCTTGTCTCAAATATATCATCTCAGAACAGTTTTTTTCTCCTTCCCCACATATAAGCTTTCTTGAAGTGGTTTTGTTTTTGATATTTATTTATTTATTGGTAATACAGACATAGTGGCCATGTGTCCAATCTTATTTATTTATTTATTTATTTATTTATTTATTATTCAAACTTATATGCCGCCACTCCCCTAGGGCTCGGAGTGGCTTACAAGAAACAAACTCGAATCTAACACAATTTAAAACAACGTATCAAAGATCGAAAGCCTGTCGAAACAAATATGCCTTACAAGCCCTGTGGAAAGCTGATAAATCCCGCAAGGCACGGACTTCTGGTGGCAGAGTGTTCCAGAGCGATGGTGCCACTGCTGTAAAGGCTCTGCGTCTGGTTGCTGTTAGACGCAAGGTTTTAAAACTGGGAACTTCCAATAAATCTTGGTCCTTGGAGCGGAGAGATCTCTGGGGTTGGTAGGGGTTGAGGCGGTCCCTCGGGTACATCAGCCCCAGACCATGTAAGGCCTTAAAGGTAAGTACCATCACTTTGAAAATGATCCGGTGCTCAATCGGTAACCAATGCAGCTGCAGTAAGATTGGAGTTATGTGGCATCTCATTGGAATTCCCGTGAGAAGCTGAGCAGCTGCATTTTGCACCAATTTGAGCTTCCAGATCACCAGCAAAGGAAGGCCAATGTAGAGGGCGTTACAGTAGTCCAGTCTTGAGATGACCGTGGCCTGGAGTACCATAGCTACGTCGTCCCTGGACAGATAGGGGGCCAGCCGTCTAGCCTGCCGCAGATGAAAAAAGGCAGTTCTGCTCACGGCGGAGACCTGAGCCTCCATCGTCAGCAAAGGGTCCAAAAGGACTCCCAGACTCTTTACCAATGATGACGGGCATAGCGCCTCACCATCCAGGGTAGGCAGCTGGATATCTCCACTGCCCGGGTGACCCAGCCATAGGATCTCCGTCTTTGCCGGATTCACCTTCAACCTGCTGGCACGCAGCCATCCAGTAACAGCCTCAAGGCATTGATGAAAATTATCGGGTACAGAGTCCGGTCGGCCTTCCATCTTCAACAAAAGCTGATTGTCATCAGCATACTGGTAACACTCAAGCCCAAAACCTCGAACGAGCTGAGCAAGTGGACGTATATAGATGTTAAACAACAGAGGGGAGAGAATGGCCCCCTGAGGAACCCCACAAAGTAGAAGGGACCTCTCAGAGACCAGGCCTCCCCTCTCCACTCGCTGTCCACAGTTGTGAAGAAAGGAGGACAGCCAATTTAAAACTGTCTCCCTGACTCCAACAGCAGCAAGGCGATGGATCAAAAGATTATAATTGATTGTGTCAAATGCTGCTGTGAGATCCAATAACACAAGCAGCACCGACCCACCTTGGTCAAGCTGGCATCGAAGGTGATTGGCGATGGAGACTAGCACAGTCTCTGTCCCATGCCCCCCACGGAAGCCGAACTGGAAGGGATCTAATCCGACAGTGTCATCTAAGAACTGCTGCAGCTGCAGTAAGGCAGTTCTGTATATGAAGGTGTGCAGGACGACTGGAATGTTTCCATCCATTGTTTTTCCACCCTTCCGTTTGCTTTCCCACTGAAGGGTCCAAAAGGGAAAGGAGGGCTCCATTGGCACCCATGAAATTTCCATCTATTTTTTAAAAAGGGGATTGCTAAGGCAAGATTTACCCTCCCTTCATCCTCCTACACCTCTTTGTGCATTAAAATGCAAAGTTTATATCTGGGATGGGCAACATACTGCCTTTCGTATGTTCTTGTGTTGCAAAACCCATCAACCATAGCCAATTGCATAGCCAATAGTAAGAGATTATGGCAGCTGTAGACCAACAACATTGAGAGGGACTAAAATTGTTCACCCATTAATCAGCACACTCCACATTTAATATAGCATATCATTTAACTCTCTTAACATCTTTTGGGACATTTAAGGAGTGTCAGGTTGGCCTTCTTGCACATTTCCTAAGCTTTCTTGCTTGTAGCATCCACAAACGTCAACGTTTACCAGAGTCTGCTGATGCCTCTTTATGGAATAAGTGAAATGCCAGGGTCCGGTTGAGCACCTGCTTTTAGCCCCAGCTCACCTGCCTATCTGGCAGGTCGGAAGCAGAAATGCGAGTAGATAAAATAGGTGCCTCTTTTAGTGGAGAGGTAATAAAAGCGCTCTTAAGGACATAAATTGGAGGAAAGCTCCTTGGCATGGAAGATGGAGTGACAACACACACACACACACACTGTGGCCAACATTGAGGCTGGAAATAAGATTGGAAAAACTGCCTTTACCTTCGTTTGTGGTGTCTGTACTTGTTAATTGTATAATCGGCATTGAACATTTGCTGTATGTGTGTTCTGTAAAGCCACTCTGAGTCCCTTTCGGGTGAGGAGGGTGGGTTATAAATATTGTAAATAAATAAATATAGTTTTAGCTATATCTTATCTATTCTGTCTTGGTTAGACCACACCTGGAATATTGTGTTCAATTCTGGGCACCACAACTGAAGAGAGATATTGACAAGCTGGAATGTGTCCAGAGGAGGGTGACTAAAATGATCAAGGGTCTGGAGAACAAGCTCTATGAGGAGCGGCTTAAAGAGCTGTGCATGTTTAGCCTGAAGAAGAGAAGGCTGAGAGAGGAGACATGATAGCCATAGGGAGGAGGGAGCAAGCTTCTTTTCTGCTGCCCTGGAGACTAGGATGCGGAATAATGGCTTCAAACTACAAGAAAGGAGATTCCATCTGAACATTAGGAAGAACTTCCTGACTGTGAGAGCCGTTCAGCAGTGGAACTCTCTGCCCCGGAGTGTGGTGGAGGCTCCTTCTTTGGAAGCTTTTAAACAGAGGCTGGATGGCCATCTGTTGGGAGTTGCGTTGAATGCGATTTTCCTGCTTCTTGACAGGGGGTTGGATAGGATGGCCCATGAGGTCTCTTCCAACTCTATGATTCTATGAACCCTATTAAAAGCAATTAAACCTGGAAGGTAAGATTTAGACTTGTAAACATTGTTGTTCATTCGTTCAGTCATTTCTGACTCTTTGTGACCTCATGGACCAGCCCACGCCAGAGCTCCCTGTTGGCCATCACCACACACAGCTCCTTCAAGGTCAATCACTTCAAGGATGCCATCCATCCATCTTGCCCTTGGTTGGCCCTTCTGCCTTTTTCCTCCCATTTTCCCTAGAATTTTTCCCTATTCTCTAGGCTTTGCTGTCTCCTCATGATGTGGCCAAAGTACTTCAACTTTGTCTCTAGTATCCTTCCTTCCAATGAGCAGTCAGGCTTTATTTCCTGAAGTATGGACTGGTTGGATCTTCTCACAGTCCAAGGCACTCTCAGAACTTTCCTCCAGCACCACAGTTCAAAAGTATCTATCTTCTTTCACTCAGCCTTCCCTATGGTCCAGGTCTCACATCCGTAGGTGACTACGGGGAATATCATTGCTTTTACTATGCGGATCTTAACATAAACATAAATGTAAACATAAACACTGCATTTAGTTCCATGTCCCAAACAGCTTTCAACTTACCATTTTTCAAAAAAAGCAACCCTGCACCATTACTCTACACTTCATTTCAAAGTGTAGGAATACTCCAGACACACTTGGGTAAAGGAGCCTGGCATTTAGAAGAGGAAAGAATCTGTTTACAATGGTGCTTGAAAGCGTCTTTGAGCAAGTACTAGAAAAAGTGCTCACTATGGAAGAATTTGCTGCATTTTGTTTCTTTACAGAGACTGTTTTCTAGAGGGAGCAAACTGTCAACAAGAAGAAGTCAGCTACCTTTACAGACACACAAAGTATTTCCCTTGGCTGCACAGATTAGGTCTTTGATTGGCATATTAGCTATTCTCTGCACTAGATATTACTGCTTAATTTTGAATAATCAGGATCCCAATTGCATTTAGAGTCAAATCTGGTTTGGCTCCCAGTTCCTAGGAAAAGAGAACTATATGATTAGAGTTTGAATGAGAGGGGGTTAATGGGAATAAAATAACTCCAGAGAGGATTACAGGAGTTGGAGTCCAATACTTCTTGAATTGCTTTACTTTGGTTTTCTGATTCCTTAGCCCTAACAAAAGGAAATTGGTAATTCCTTAACTACCTTACATTATATTGGTATTCATAGCATTATGCATAACAGCAGGATAGTGAAAGGAAACCAGCAAGATACAAACAGATCTTTGGAATGTCTCCACACTCTTTATTGACTGTTCATAAACAGGAGATTCATTCTGAGCTCTCACAGGCACAGCAATACAAGGCATTCCAAATCTAGTCTGTTGCACACTCAAATATTTTCCATTTCACTCTAATTTTTTCTATTTTATCACTCATCCTCCATAGTCATTAGTATCACATTGTCATTCCGTAAGTTCCAAAAGAAAAATAAGGCAGTGTGGGAAGGGGGCAACACAGACCAACATAACCCTTTTACTGGGTCAAAAAGGCAATTTTAGATCTTGGAAATGGGTATACAAGTTGGAAAAAAATGACATAGGGACAGTCTTGAAAGTGGATTGAAAGAAGAATGGCAAACTGAAGAGGTGAAAAGGAAATCTACTTGGTATTTTGTACAATTTAGCCTCCCACTAGGCAAGCCAGCCCTACATCAAGTAGTAACTTTTCCTAGTGCTACAGTTCTGACAGATCGGACTCCTGGAACCTTTGAATTTAAGCCCATCTGCAAAATGATACAAACACACCACATTCTTATATAAAGCTTACATCCCTCAAAAGGAGAGAAAACTCAGTGCCTCAAGATAAATTTTCCCCTCCCAATGGTATTGTAGAAACCCCTAGTGCCATCTGGCCCTTGCGGAAGGCGAATCACTCCTGGCCGTGCACCATGAAATTCACTCATCCTTTTGGAAGCAGCCCCTGTGCCCAAGGACTCAGGTTTCTGTGGAAGAAGTTGACTGCTGGCTGGTCCACGACGTTTGGACATCCACGGGTTTCCAGTATCTACTCCTGTGTCACAGCACAAGTCGGGTGGCTTTCGTGATTCCAAAGTGGCATTGCCCAGCTTGGGTGCAGAGATAGGTGGTGGGCAGAAAGGCCAAGGCAGGGATTTGTGCAATGAGAGATGACCTGCATATGGCATGCTGAAGAAGTTTTGTTTGAAGACCTGGTTAGCAGAATTGCAGAAGTTGGTGGTGGGCCAGACAGGAGCAGAGAGGAAATTCCGAGGCAGAATAGGAGTAGACACTGGGGTGCTATCTGACTCTGTGGATGAGCTGTAAAAGAAGGAATCATCAAGAGCATGCTGGAGGCCTTCTGGCAGCATATGGGTCCACTTCCTAGAAGGCTTCTCCATCTCCTCAGCCTCCTCACTATCATCTTGACTGGTTGCGCTCTTCTTCTTGGAGCCCCTTCCAGAGAGGCTGACGACTTTTATAGCTTCCCCAGGAGAGGAGGCTTGGTTGTGGCCAAGCTCTTCAAGAGCTTTTCGGGCACTCTCTAAACTCTCATATTCTACCAAGGCACAACATTTGGTCAACAGCTCTGGGTACCGTGATGAATATTTCTTCACGTCGGAAGGAAGCTTTTTGCCAGGACGGAGGATACGAATGGAGGTAATATCCCCAAAAGGCCCAAAGAGCTTGGTGATTTTGTCAAGAAAAGTTGTCTGGAAGAGAAGTGAGGCAGGGATTGTTTGCTCATATGGAAGGACATTCCAGGCCAGGAGCATCTTGCTTGGAGGGATGTTTACCAGATAACCTGGGATGGGGTTTCTCCTCCTCACCTTTGTCCCTTCCTCATTGACTTCCAGCAGTTCTGAGAACTGCAAAGCATAGAGGGTCACTCGCCAATCTCTGGTTAAATATTTCACCTGAGTATTTGAGAGAAAAATGAGACGTTCTTAGTTGATGAGAAATCTTCTCATTAAGACATACAACATGTGGCAAGAGTTCCATGCATTTCTGCCATGACCACTAGTTTTTCAAAGGGAGGGAAAGTCAGATACACATAAGATCTACTGAAAAGATAAGTATGAAGTATAGGTTGAGTATCCTTATCCAATATGTTTGGTACCAGAAGTGCTTTGGATTTACATCTACATACATATAAAATATCTTGGAGATGAGACTCAATTCTAAGCACAAAATTCATTCATATTGCATATACACCTTATACACATAACCAAAAGGTAATTTTATGCATAATATTTTAAATAATGTTGTGCATTAAACAAAGTTTTGTATACTGTACCATCAGAAAGGCAAAGGAGTCATGATCTCAGCTACCTATGTGGACAATTTCAGATTTTGGAATAACGGATAAGGAATGATCAACCTGCATTTGGCCTTCTAAGCAAACCTGTGTGGTGCAATCTAAGAAGTACTGTATAATTTTAGCATTATTCGCAACAACCTTTATATTTGTTATATGAAGCTACAGCACAATTGAGTGAACTAGAATTCTAGCCATGTCAGAATACAAAGACAATAATGCTTATTTTTAATGTTTGAAGGGTTGTGCTATGATCAAGTAAAATAGCATCTTGTAACATCAAGAAAGCCCAGCATAGTTTCCTCAGCAACTCCATCAAGCCAATAAGAAAAATCAGTAGGATTGCACATTTAGAAATATGTTAGGAAGTGGTTTGCCTATTGGCAACACTCTATTAGCCTAATGTTGTGTGGTGCTTAAACAATCATATTCAGTTAGAAGCACACAGCACAGGAAGGAATAGGAATGATTCAAACCTGGGGAGGTTATGTAGTGTATTTCGTACACATACTCCCAGGCAAACACACAAACCCTGTATCACTATCCCAATGTGTTATTGTCAGCAATTTTTCAGGACACCTGCAAAATGGAGCCAACAATTGTGGGATGAGAAATACTAACCTATTCATGATTATTGTGTGCCTTCAAGTCATTTCTTACTTATGTCAACCCTAAGGGAACCCTCTCATGGGGTTTTCTTGGCAAGATATGTTCAGAGAGGATTTGCCTTTCTTTTTGCCCAAGGCTGAGTGAATATGACTTTCCCAAGGCCTAATGTTGTGTGGTGCTTAAACAATCATAGAAGCACACAGCACTGGAAGGAATAGGAATGATTCAAAGCAGGGAGTGTATGTAGTGTATTGTACACATACTCCCAGGCAAACACACAAACCCTGTATCACTATCCCAATGTGCTATTGTCAGCAATTTTTCAGGACACCTGCAAAATGGAGCCAACAATTGAGGGATGAGAAATATTACCTATTCATGTTTATTGTTGTGTGCCTTCAAACCATTTCTTACTTATGTCAACCCTAAGGGAACCCTCTTGCGGGTTTTCTTGGCAAAATATGTTCGGAGGGGATTTGCCTTTCTTTTTGCCCAAGGCTGAGTGAATATGACTTGCCTAAGGTCACCAAGTTGGTTTCCATGGCCAAGTTGTCTCCAGAATCAAGATCAAAGCACTACACCAATCTGGCTCCCACCTTTTTAGTAGGGCTGGGCGGTTTCGTTTCGTTAATTCGTAATTCGTTAAAAATTCGTTATTTTTTTTTGTTAACGAAGCAATAACGAACCATTCTGGAGCAACTTAAAAACGAAACGAATTTCTCAATTCGTTTCGTAAATGCTTCGTATTTCGTTATGTATTCGTTTCGTTATTGGTTTGAGGTCGTTTCGTTATTATTTCCGCATGTCTGGGGCAAGTTTTATAGTTGTTTTTTGTTTAATTAGTGAAAAAAATTATAATATCACACCAACGGTCAACAACAGAGGGAGAGGGAAGCTTCAGAAGTTTTTTTAGCGTATTGCGCGATCGCGGCCGCCATTAACGAATCGATTCGTTATTGTTTCGTTATTGTTTTGTAATTTTTTTACCATTTACGAAATTTCGTAAATACCGAACTTTTTTTAAGGAAAATTTTGTAATTATTTTAAATAACGAAACGCAACCCCCCCCCCCCAAAAAAAACCGAATCGATTTTAGAAACAAATTTTTCTGTTGTTACCCAGGCCTACTTTTTAGCCTAAAGCAGTGGTTCTCAACCTGTGGGTCCCCGGTGCTTTGACCTACAACTCCCAGAAATCCCAGCCAGTTTGCCAGCTGTTAGGATTTCTGGGAGTTGAAGGCCAAAACATCTGGGGACCCACAGGTTGAGAACCACTGCACTAGATTAAAGCGATCTATCTTTCCACCTTGAGATCAGAAGACCAGCATATATAAATTAGTAACACATATTTGTTATGATCTTGTTCAGCAAGGAGAGAAGTGTGGTCCTCCATATGTTGTTGGAATCACAATTCTCATCAGTTGTAGCCAGCATAGCTAATGGTGAAAAACGCTGGTAGTTGCAACACAACATCTGGAGAGGGAGACTTTATTGACCCCTTCTATAGCTTTAATATTATTTCTAAGGAAGAGTTATTTTGGGTTAATTCGGAATTCTTGTTATTTTAAGTTTTGCAGCAATAGTTATGTCATGTAAATGTGTCTGGATGACTCCTGGTTTCTCCAAATCAATTGAATCTATTAAGTCCACAATTGTTTAATGGCTACATTACCAGGGGTCTTCTCACAACAAGTAAGGAAAAATTACAAAATGTTTACACCTTGCAGGAAAGTTAATTTAAAAAGAAGGAAGTGAAGCAAGTTCTTCCTCTGAGTCGTGAGTATGTTCTGCAGGGGATAGGAAACCCACCTGTCAAACAAGCCTCCCAATCCAGTAGCCTGAAAGAAATGTAGCAGGAAAATCTCCTTTGCTTCAATATAGAAAATCATTCCTGAATCAGAATTCTGAGTTTAAAGGGAGCCCAGGACTTCTCCCCAAGGGAGCTGCTGGTATTCAATTCTGTACCTAACAAAGCCCTTTCTGAGCCAGGATTACATTGTCCAAAAGTGTGAAGTCTAGAAATAATATAAAATTGCATTTTTTTAAAAAAGAAACCTATATCTGTGCTCATCAGTGAGATACAGTGAGCCCTGCTGTGCATAATACTGGCCAGCAAACCTGTTTGCAGCTACTTCTTTCTGCAGGTACTTAACTATTGATCTTTTTAAAATAGTAAGATGGATAATTGAAAGGTTATGAAAAACCGTATCAGGAATTCATTACTAATGTATGTGATGTAGCCAAAGATATTCAGTATGGGAAATGCAACACTCTGCCTCATTAAATAGTGGTGTATTTACACTACCTTAAACAGAAGAAAAAACTAAGAACAGTATTTTTTAGATTTTCAAAGGACAATTCCTAATATAACATGAATAATAATTTTAGATCAAACAAGGCTGCATACTGCAAGCTTGAACTCTGTTACCATCTCTGCAGTTTGCCCACCATCCATTTGTCTTCTGGGAAAAACAGTTTGGATCATGGAGATTTCAGCAAAGTTCCTGGGTAGCTGAGTTTTATTTGAAGCCCCAGCTTGACTACTGTGTCATTGTTCCTATACTTTGTGGGTTTTTATTCCACAAGTTAATAATGTACTGGAGAAACAGAAAACATTGGATAGTTGGTGGCACTGCTTTGATCTAAAGAATAATGACTGTAAGAAGACTCCAAATTCTGGATTAAAGTCTGTCCATTTTGCAAGTCCAATTTAAAATTTGGTTCTGGCATACTGATGCAGTCCAAAAGGTATCCCAGCAATAAAAAGAGATGGAGGCAACCTGTTTAGAGATGCCTTCTATAGATTCAGGGTGTAGCACTAGTCTCAGAGTCACAAAAATACACCGAGATCTGCTTCCAGTACTTGGAATTTTTATTTTCTTGGATGAAAGCAACTGGAATCCCCCTGATAGGCCTGCCTTTGAGGAAGCTGGGAATTATGAAAAAAAGTAGGTTCTCTCAAATCCTGGAAGTTCTGTTCCTGAGGATTTATACAGTGGGGGAGGGGGAAAGTATTTAGTCAGATACCAATTGTACAAGTTCTCCCACTTAAAAAGATAAGTTTTGGGGCTGTCGCTGGGCAATACGGACTTTCAACTCCAGAGAAACAGCCATCCAAAAGTTTTCTATAGCGTTGAGATATGGAGTCTGGTTAGGTCACTCCAGGACCTTGAAATGCTTCTTATGAAGCCACTCCTTTGTTGCCCTGGTGGTGTGCTTGTGATCACTTGTCATGCTAAAAGACCCAGCCACGTTTCATCTTCAGTGCCCTTGCTGATGGAAGGAGGTTTGCACTCAAAATCTCACGATACGTGGCCTCATTCATTCTTTCATGTATACGGATCGGTCGCCCTGGTCCCTTTGCAGAGAAACAGCCCCAAAGCATGATGTTGCCACCCCCATGCTTCACTGTAGGTATGGTGTTCTTCGGATGCAACTCAACATTCTTTCTCCTCCAAACCCGACGAGTTGGGTTTCTGCCAAACAGTTCTATTTTGGTTTCATCTGGCCATATGACATTCTCCCAATACTCTTTTGGATCATCCAAATGCTCTCTAGCAAACTTCACTCGGCTCCGGACATGTACTGGCTTAAGCAGGGGGACATGTCTGGCACTGCAGGATCTGAATCCCTGGCAGTGTAGTGTGTTACTGATGGTAGACTTTGTTACATTGGTCCCAGCTCTCTGCAGGTCATTCACTAGGTTCCCCAGTGTGGTTCTGGGATTTTTGCTCATGGTCCTTGTGATTATTTTGATCCCACAGGGTGAGATCTTGCATGGAGCCCCAGATCAAGGGAGATTATCAGTGCTCTTGTATCTCTTCCATTTTCTAATTATTGCTTCCACCATTGATTTCTTCACACCAAGCTCCTTGCATATTGCAGATTCAGTCTTCCCAGTCTGGTACAGGGTGACAATTTTGTTTCTGGTGTCCTTCGACAGCTCTTTGGCCTTCACCAGAGTGGAGTTTGGAGTGTGACTGCTTGAGGTTGTGGACAGGTGTCTTTTATACTGATTATAAGTTCAAATAGGTGCCATTGCTACAGGTAATGAGTGGAGGACAGAGAAGCCTCTTCAAGAAGAAGTCACAGGTCTGTGAAACCCAGAAATCTAGCTTGTTTGCAGGTGACCAAATTATTATTTTCTACCATAATTTGCAAATAAATTAGTTAAAAATCAGAATGTGATTTTCTGGATGTGTTTTCTCAATTTGTCTCTCATAGTTGAGGTCTACCTATGATGTCAATTACAGGCCTCTCTCATCTTTTTAAGTGGGAGAACTTGTTCAATTTTTTTCTGACTAAATACCCCCCCCCTACAGTATATATACGCTGCACTGAAGAGATCAAAGACAAAGGGGAAACAAGAATAAGAAAAAAACCTTTACTGCCCACCTTTTTGAAGGATGTCAGAAGTTTAATGCTCACAAAGCCCATTTTGTTCTTTTGCACATGCTTCAGGAGGAAGGCATCCTTGGACAAGTTCTCATCAGAGAGGTAGAACTCCACCTGCGAGACTATCCTTCTGACCAGCTGTGAATCTGGCATGGAGGAGTCACTGCTCACAAAGAGACCAGGACTGAGGTCATTCAAGTCAAAGGGGCTCCTGTCAGAGAGGAATGAGAAAGGAGAGCTCACACAGGCCCAGGTACTTCTAGCAGTCAACAGCATGATGAGCAAGTTCATGTTGCTTGGGTTTGCCTCTGAACTAAGAAAATAAATCTCAACACAAACAAACATAATGTGCTACATCAGGAAATACAACATGCACAAATACAGAAGGTGATATCTGGTATGACAGCAGTACATCTCAAAATGATATAAAGGTCTTAGAAGTTAAACCTAAGTCAACAGTGTGATGTGACAGCCACAGAAAGCAAATGCAGTTCTAGGCTGAATCAAGTATCCAGATTGAGGGAAGTAACATTTTGCTTTGATCAGACATCACTTAGAATACTATGTACAATTCTGGGCACCAAAATTCAAAGAGGGCATTGACAAGCTGGAACATACCCACAGAAGGGTGAGCAAAATTGTAAAGGTTTTGGAAACCAATCTCTATAGAGAGTTGGGCATGTTTAGCTTAGAGAAGAAATGATGAAGAAGTGATACAATCATACTTACATATTTGAAGGAATGATGTAGAAAATGAAACAAGCTTGTTTCCTGATGCTCTAGGGCAGTGGTTCTCAATCTGTGGGTCCCCAGGTGTTTTGGCCTACAATTCTCAGAAATCTCAACCAGTTTACTAGCTGTTAATTCCCAGTAGACTTCCATGCCTATTTCTAGAGGACCAAGTCCAGCGTGACCAAAAGTCATCATGGATAGTGGTTCTAAATAATGAGTTGACAGGGGTCCTCAAACTAAGGCCCGGGGGCCAAATACGACCCTCCAAGGTAATTTACCCGGCCCTCGCTCAGGGTCAACCTAAGTCTGAAATGACTTGAAAGCACACAACAACAACAACAACAACAACAACAACAATCCTATCTCATCAGCCAAAAGCAGGCCCACACTTCCCATTGAAATACGAATAAGTTTATATTTGTTAAAATTGTTCTTCATTTGAATTATTGTATTATTTTAAGTGTTTTTTGCACTACAAATAAGATATGTGCACTGTGCATAGGAATTCATTCATGTTTTTTTCAAATTATAATCCGGGCCTCCAACTGTTTAAAAAGTTTGAGGACCCCTGATCTAAGACCGAAGACAAAACAAGTGCTGATGCAACGCACTCGAGATATCTATACTCAACTGGACCTAGCAAGCATAGGTAGGTCTTCTGCCACAAGGTTTTTAGCTTCTCGCAAAAGAAATATTCATTTAGAACTCTGACTGTCCTACTGCCATTACCCTTAAAAAGAATATATACTAGGGCTAGGTTTGAACAACTCGGTATTATGATGCAAACTGGGTGTTACTGTAACATCCCAAAAAGTGAGAGATTCAGCGTATGGGGAGAACAAACAGTGGAAGATATCCAACATTTCTTAATTGACTGTCCATCATATACTGAACTACAATACAGATATTTACATCCAATATTAACCAACTGCAGGTCCCCCAACAGAAATGATCTTCTGACATTCCTTTTGCAAGGACAAGAAAGATCCACCATAATCAGGGTAAGCCTTTTCATTCTGAAAGCTATCAAGAGCACATTTCCTGAAAAAATCAGGAAAATAAGATTCCAACTGTAAATAGAAGGTCAGCTGCTGCCCTCTCCTTTTTGCCTTGTATTTTATTCATGTTGCATTTTGGAATGATCATATGACTCGTCAAATAAATAAATAAACTATTATTATTATTATTATTATTATTATTATTATTATTATCAGCTGTTAGGATTTCTGGAAGTTCAAGGGCAAAACATTTGAGGACCCACAAATTGAGAACCACTGCTCTAGGGACTAGGACATATAACATTAAATTCAAATCAGGAGGAAAAGCTATTCCTCCTAAACATCAGAAGGAACATCTAGTAATAGCTCTTTGACAATTAAACAGATTGCATTGTCAAATGCTTTCACGGTCAGAGTGACTGAGGTGTTGTGTCATTTCCAAGCTGTATGGCTGTGTTCCAGCAGCACATTTTCCAGACATTTTGCTTGCATCTGTGGCTGACATCTCAGAGGATCTAAATCAGACATGGGCAAACTTGGCCCTCCAGGTGTTTTGGACTTCAACTCCCACAATTCCTAACAGCCAGTAAGCTGGCTGGGATTTCTGGGAGTTGAAGTCCAAAACACCTGGAGGGCCTAAGTTTGCTCATGCCTGATTTATATAGACTACTTCACAGTAGAGCTGGGCGTGGAATTTGTTCCTACCATTTCTACCGTTTCTTCAGGAGAACGAAACGGGAAGCCCTCACCCCACACAAAAATCTGCTCAACACAAAAACCTGCTTTTGTCTGCAGCCAGACTTGCCACCCTGCCTTGGAAAGAGAGTGCGTATGAGGCCTGGAGTGAAGGCAGGCCTGGAAAGTGTGTGTGCACCTGCCAGTAACTACAGCAGAGCGCCTCTTACTCTAGAGTAGAAACAGCAGGTGCCACGGTGCGAAGGGTAGCAGGTGGGTGCGACTCCCCGCCCCCATGGTCCGATTTTTGGGGCTCCAAAGCGAAAACAAGTATCTACCCACTCAATTTCGGGGGGCTCCCAAAAATGGATTGGGGCCCCCAACAAAAGCTGGGACACAAAACGGTGCAAGGTTTACCCCGAAAGCACAACTCTACTTCACAGAATGGTTAACTCTCCTTCTTCAATGTAGTTTACCCTCCAACCAGGCATGTAGCTGGGGGGGGGGCTTGAGGGGCTTCAGCCCCCCCCCCCCAAAATTCTCAGGGTGGTCCACGAGATGGTCTTACTGGTGCATTATTTAAACTGTTATGTTTATTCATATCACGATCTGATCATCATGCTCAATATATCCCATATGCATGGGGATATTGGGATAACAATATAAAGGTTTGCTAGGGTAGATCCTCACCCCCCCACCCCCGAATCAAAATCCTGGCTACAGGCCTGCCTCCAATTGTCCCAATGTGTCAGGGCAGTTGCAATTAATCCTCTATCATGCAACTTGGGGCCCTTCCATACAGGCCCTATATCCCAGGATCTGATCCCAGGTTTTCTGCTTTAAACTGGATTACATTAGTCCACACTGCCATAATCTGGTATAAACAGAAAACTTGGGATCAGATCCTGGGATACAGGCCTGTTTGGAAGTGCCCTTAACTGCTTTTAGTGTCCCAGTTTCTCTTCCCTCCTCCTACTTCCCCCTTTTGTCTTCAGCTTACTTCAGTTGCTGCAAACTGAGCTCAAAGTGTGAAAGGAGTTTGCACTCAATTAACTCCAAATTGCAATGCTTCCTCCCTTTACCAGAGCTTAGAAAACTTACCTTTTGGTGCAATTACAACTTCCTCAACCAGCATAGGCACTAGCCAAATTAACTGGAAGATTCCGGGAATGGCTGTTCTGAACATAATTTCCCACAGCTCCCAAAATCTCTCACTCATTACCCATTTCTGGCTTGGGGGTTCTGCAAATTATAGCCCAAAAAAGTAACTTTGCCAAGGACTACTACTTCTTAAAGAAGTTGTTGCATGCCAAGACAATTCCACCCCAAGAGGCTGCTTACCCATCCAAGGTCTCCACCAGCTCTTCTTGGCTCAGCAGAGGGAAGGATCTATTTGGACGGGGGAAGAAATGGAGAGCAGAAAAGGGTCCTCCCTGGACTGGAACTGGCATGCTGCATTTCAGCTGGGAACCAAATTTCAAGTCCATTGTTGGGTTGCACAAAGACATGGTGCTTCATCTGTAGAGAATGGTAACTGGAAAGAGAAATGCCATTTGACTTACTAAAAGCCACGTCCAAGAAGGGAAGGACTCCTGGAGAAACAGCCTAACCCTGGCAAGGGCAAACTTTGGCCCTCCAGGTTTTCGGGACTTTAATTTCCACAATTCCTAACAGCCAGAAGGAATTGTGGGAGTTGAAGTGCCAAACACCTGGAGGGCCAAAGTTAACCCATGCCTGGCCTAACTACTATTATACCTATTCAACTATCATAGTTACTATTTACAAATAAAATGTTCTTGCAAAACTATAATTCCCAAGGAATGGGGTGATGGTGCTTTAGGTAATTCATAGGCCCCTTTTACACTACCATATAGGCCAGGTTATCAAAACAGATAATCCAGATTATCTGCTTTGGACCAGATTATGAGTTAACACTGCCATTTAATCCATTTTAAAGAAATAGAGATTTTGGGTTGTTGTAGGTTTTTTCGGGCTATATGGCCATGTTCTAGAGGCATTCTCTCCTGACGTTTCGCCTGCATCTATGGCAAGCATCTATTCCAAATTGCCTCTGAGGAAAGCATCCTCAGAGGTAATGCATCTATGGCAAACATCCTCACTACCTGTGAGGATGCTTGCCATAGATGCAGGCGAAACATCAGAAGAGAATGCCTCTAGAACATGGCCATATAGCCTGAAAAATCCTACAACAACCCAGTGATTCTGGCCATGAAAGCCTTCAACAATACAATCTGGATTTTATAGGGCAGTGTAGAAGGAGCAATAGTTACAAACCTTTCCTTACTTTTTTTGCATTGTCCCTATTTGTATTCCTATCCTTTAATGCTGTGGGTTCCTCAGCTACACCTCTTTTGTCTTTTTCTTCTTCTTTCCACCCAATGCTTAATGGAACTTTTTATATTTGCACAGTTTCAAAACAAAGGCATTGAGACCTGCTTTAAAACACGAATCCCTGAGGCCCCTTCTACACTGCCATACAAAATCCGATTTTACTGTATTGTGGCTGTGTAGACTCATATAATCCAGTTCTAATCAGATAATCTGGATTATCTGCTTTGATTACCTGGATTATATGGCAGTGTGGAAGGGGACTGAAAATCCAAAATTCATATCTCATTCTCATATTGATGGAGTGAATTTACTAGCATGAAAAACACTTCAAGTATTCCTTTAAAAACTCCATGTTTCTGCTTCCCCCACCTGTGCTGACTTCCCAACCCAAGTTCAAGGTCAGCACAATACTAACTGGGTTTAACAATGAAGATTCTCCTCAAAAACCCTTTCTCCAGTTCATTTTTATCTTCCTTGCCGACTCCACAAACTGGGAAGTGAAGGGTTACAATAATAATGAGGGAAAATGAACATGACACATAATAGCCTGAATACAGAGAGACCAGCTTAAATGCCTATGTGTATTAACGCTACCCGAACGTATCTCCACCTTTGTAGCTCAAACAGTTCATCAGAAGGTGCATCAGCTTACCTAGACTGGATATTTTTTCCATTAATTAGTCACTCTTGAAGATTTTATTCCCTCGTTCTTTTACTGCATCTGACATCCAAACTAAGTTTGGAGACTTGAGCAAAAAACAATAAGAGTAAATACAAAGAATAAAGTAAGAGAAAGAAGGATTCTGACCTGCCAGAAAAGAGCTTCTTAAGAAAAGAAGGTACTTTAGGAGAGATACATCAGCTGGTGGTGTTTGAAAATTAAAGTAGCAAGAAGGGAAAGAAAGGAGGGAACAGACCAACAGAGAGGTTCAGGTGAACTCCATTTCCATTGTGAGTATCAAGGGTTAAGGAAGGAGTGGAGTGGAAGTCTTAACAGAACCAGACTATAGAAATGCTCTCATTCTTGGAGTAGACTCGTTGTAATCACTGGAATTGCAACTTATTACAACTAAATCTGGTTTGTGAAATTAATTTCAGCAGATTGACTTCTAAGTTTGACCAGATGGAGAAAAAATTCGTCCCTTTGAACAGTCAGACTTCAGGTGCGTTTTCTCAAAAGGGATAAGAACCTAAGAAGAGCCATATTTTGCATCAAACCAAAGGTTTATCTAGTCCACCATTCGGTTCAAACAACAGCCAACCAAAAATACTTTATGCCCCAAAGTTGAATACAGTTACCAGTAAGAGAGAATTGGATGGTTAAGCTGGTTGAATTGGATGAAATGTATATATTAGCCCAGGCGTGGGCAAACTGAGGCCTGGGGGCCAGATGTACATAAAATAATACTCTCATTTTATCTGAAAAATGAGAGTATTATATATGTGTGTGTGTATATATAGAGAGAAAGGGGGGTACGAACCTAAGAAGAGTCATATTTTGTGAGATTTGAAGACTGCAGATAATAATTTTGTAAAAATAGGGAAGAAAATAAGATTTGTTTAATTCTACTTAATAGCAAGAAGATGACCAAATGTTTTTTAAAGAAATATTGAATAGACCTGATAGGTGGGGAGTGACTTTTAATATTTTTATTTAAATTTATTTTGGCATTTAAATTGTATCTCAAATCTATTTTTCTTTTCCTGCATGCTGTTAATGTGGAGGTGGTAGAGAAGATAGTTTATTTATTTATTTATTTATTTACGACATTTATATGCTGCCCTTCCCACCCCAAAGGGGACTCAGAGCAGCTTACAAGGTATATATACATACAATATATTATTAACATAGTACAGTATAATATCAGTTATAAATATTGCTATATTGCACTATATCAATTATACTGTAATATTATTAGTAATATTATTAGTAATATTACATGTAATATAAATATATAATTATAATATCATATTATTATTAGTAGTATTATATTGCATTACATTACAATATTATAGTTCTTTCCTTTTTCTTTATTTTTAGTACAGTGGTGATCGATACATATGATATAGGTGCCATAGTTCAATTATGAATATGGTACATTATGATACATCGATATAGTAATAATAACAATAACAGTAACAATACACTTTATTTATATTCTGCTTTATCTTCCTGGAGGGACTCAGAGCAGATTACAGTTTGTATATATAAGACAAACATTCAGTGCCTTTTTACACAGTGAACAAATGGCATACAATACACAGACAAGAGGTAAAGGCCTTCCCCTTTTAGGGTCTGAAGGTGATGCTCAACTCTGGCCATAGGGAGGTGCTCTTGTTACATTTTCCCTTGCTTGTTGTACATAGACTTTCTCCAATGTTGTCTGCGTGGGGCGCCCTTTAATCTCCCTGCTGAGGCAATACCTATTGATCTACTCGCATTACATGCTTTCAAACTGCTAGGTAGGCAGGAGCTAGGGCTGACAGCTGAGAGCTCACTCTGACTCGCAGCTTTGAACTGCTAACTCTCTGATCAGCAGATTTTCTGCAGTAGCAGTTTTAACCATTGTGCTACTGCAGCCCCAACACTGTATCCACAATACCCACAATTAAATATGATTAATAATATTAAGAAAAATACTTAAAATGACAACAGCCAACCAGATGTCTGTGGGAAATCCACATGACTGCAACCGTGACACATTTTTACCACTTGTACTTCACAACCAGCTATATACAAAGTCACACTACTGGTAATACTGAAAGGAACATACAATATATTTATCCTGAACAGATAGCATTCTGCTTCAGTAGATGACAGTTGATTAGAGACAGATTTATGGAGAGTAGGCAGTAACTGGAAGGATCACTGAGTATCCCATCATCCCAAGCTACTTTGGGTCCCATATTGGAACAAAGCATGGTATAAATCAAATCAAGACAGAAAGAGGTTTTTCACACCAGCTATTTTGTCTGAAATTGTTGAGTTTCCAAGACCTTTAAAATAAAGAAATCACCCCCAAAATGTCAAGTTGCAGGAAGCAAATTCTCAATTTTTTTATATGCACCAACTTTTTTTTATGGGAAGCAAAGCTTTCTCTAAACTCTTCCCATGTAATTGGATAAATGTGACTTTAACGACACACCTTGGCTAAACAGTCTTTACTTGTTTATAAAATACTCACAAAACTCTGAAAAAAAACCATTTTAAATATAAAAGTATGGCTTTAAAGGGGAGAAATGTTAGGCTCTATTCAGCTTTCCTCCATCCTTTGGGTCCCTGTTTGCATTCAAAGATGTCCATACGTTTCTAGAGCAGTTAATTAACACTACGTTCTATGTAACCCTTGGAAATTGACTTGTTATCTGCCGAAAGCTCCAAGGATGATCTAACTCTTAGACGACGTGGATCTTTTATCTATTGATGTGACTCCCCTTGGCTTTTATGGTTTCAGCGTTTCCTGCTGTCTGATAATCATCATCTGTCTTCCTGCTGAATAAGACAGGTGTTGAAGTCAAATCAACCATAATTCTCAAAAATGGTCTTCCATTTATACATGTGCAATATGCCTCTTTAAGCAGTGGTGCACCTAGGATTGAAGCAATTGTGGCTGAAGCTCACAACAGCATATGCTAAAATAGAATCACCAGACTGAAAACAGGAGAGAGCTCTTTCAGCTTTAATATTTGTGTAGAAGAGGTATTTCAGCAGGTGTTATTGCTTATGTAACCAGGTAACCAAGAACACCTGCTGACATTTCCTTCGCTACACATTAAAATTACAGGTACGCTCTCCAGTTTTCTCTTTGGTAATAATTTTTTTTGTCGTGTCAGGAGCGACTTGAGAAACTGCAAGTCGCTTCTGGTGTGAGAGAATTGGCTGTCTGCAAGGACGTTGCCCAGGGGACGCCTGGGTGAATTGATGTTTTTATCATCCTTGTGGGAGGCTTCTCTCATGTCCCCGCATGAGGAGCTGGAGCTGATAGAGGGAGCTCATCCGCCTCTCCCCAGATTCGAACCTGCGACCTGTCGGTCTTCAGTCCTGCCGGCACAGGGGTTGACTGTCCACAATGAAGCAGTTGATGGGACTAGTGGCAAATATTGTTGGTATCGTAATCTAGACCACCATGATCATACTTGGGAGTTCACAAGGATG